TTGAAATGTTTTTGTGCTAAAAGTTCAACAGAAACTGTTTTATCATCATTTTTTGCAGGAAAATTTATGATTAATTTAAAAAAAAAATTAAAATTTTCCAAATTTTATTATTTAAGTGAAATAACTATCTACTCACCGTGTTTATTTTTCGCAATAATGACATGTATTGACTATTTACATTCTAAATATCTTGAGAACGGTTGCTCGCAGCGATTTTTACCAAGAGACATTTTTTACGTAAAAAGTCACGGAAATGTATATTTTTTAATTCAGTAGTTTTATACAGGTACGGACAAAAAGTTATTACTGTTCAAAACAGTTGAAACACATATAGGTGGCACTCCCTACAAATAGGAAGCATATTGACATCAAAATCAAATTTCTCATGCCAAAAAACTTCCAGACACCAATTTTCATCCAAATATTCACGTTACTGTGAAATTATTTGGAAAAAATCTAAATCAAAATGAAACTTCTACACCCTGTATCTCCGAAACTAAGCATTTTAGGACATACCTTTATACGAACTATTTTACTTATTTTTATCTGCAGAATATGCTGCCGAAGTGTCCGGAATACAGTTCGGACCACCCTGTATATTTATTAATAGGGAAATACACTTAATATAACAGGGTTCCAATCAAAAAGTTGCCGTAATGTATTTAATTAATAATAATAATAACTGTTTTTGGAGACGACATTACGTTCATAAAATTTTTTGATCATTTATATCTCAAATTAACTCTATTTTTATTCTGTGCATGATTTTATAAGGGTATCTATGAAAAAGTTGCTTATGAAAAATAGGGGTTGCCACGATTCAAAGTCGTTCCTAATGCTTTATACGGCCCCCAAACAGTGCGTCGGGCATCTGTAGGCCCTATAATAAAAAATAGGAATTTTGTCGAAAGTGCCAACCTAAAGTATGTGTTAGGATGTATTTCAAGAAAATATTTTAACTTCTACACGGTGGCTCAAAAAAGTGTGAATGGATCGGGATGATTTTTTAAATGGAACACCCTCTATAGTATTCCTTTGTTAGATGGAAAATAGTTAAAAACGAATATTTTTTGAATTCAAAGTATTTCAAAATCTGTATCTTGTGTCAATATCAGTCTGGTATTTTATCGTTGAAAGAGCCTTATGTAATAAAAAAGCGAATATTTGCAAAACCGTTAAACAATTTGAAATACTATAAACTCAAAAAAA